TCTGGCGAACTAAAGTTAATTTTGAAGGAAAAAGTATCATCATGAGGGTTCCAGTGTAAACCCAAAACACGCAAGCCTACCCCCTCTAAATTAAGATTAACTTCTTTAATTTCGATATTAATTAAATTCGGCTGTAGTAGTTTGAGAGCTTCTGGTTTATTCGAGACCCATGATCGCATCTCAAAACCACACTGACTATGCACATGAACTATATCGGCTGCAACCTGAGCTGCATGTTCTACATCGTCATAACTTCCTAAAAAATCATCCATATAGTGACTTTCAACAATAGCTCGCGACGCTTCAGGAAACTTTAATTGAAAGTCCTTTGCGTTTCGATTCTTGATGAAAATCGCTATAAATGGAGAACACGATGCACCAAAAATAAGCGATGACATTCTAAATTCCTTCACAGGTCCAACACCACCGACCCGCCAGAGATATCTTTGAAAGTTTCGATCTTGACTTGCGGAAACATTTCGCGAATGTCACCCGTCAAAGCAACTTGACCTTCGCGAAATTTCATCAAAATCCCCAATAAAGATTGTAAAAGATCTGGCCCAGGTAACAAAAGCGAGTTGAGACTAACACCACGAGTTCGAGCAGCAGCATCATGAACTATTCGAAGATTTCCGGGCTTATTGACATTGGTAACTCCAAAATGTGGGAGATACCAACGTTTGGAACCATCGATCGGGAAGTCATGAGAGTCCGCACATTCTTCAGCGTAACCTTTCTCTACATATGCCTCTATATTCTTTGTATATTGGTCAAAATAATTGCTATCACGTTTAAAGTGTTTTGAAAGAGAATTAAATCGACTTAATGCCAGATGGTAGCTGTCAGGTACGTAGGGCTCATCCTCACGCCATGGTAAACCTACTTCAAACCTACCGTTTGGCAGTCGGCGCGTTGTTTTTTCAACAATTTCTACAGCCCTTCGCTCTTGAGCAGTATATGGTTGCTCCTGTTTAATTCCAATCGAATCTAATCTATAATAGTCTCTAATGAGAGAGTTCAACTCCTCATTCGTATCAGAAATATGACAATGATTTATACAAGAAATATTTTTACTAAATTTTGGTTGACAACCATATATCGCCCAGCCAAGAGCTGTACGCACTGCTGCAGGTTGACAAGGCGTCGGCCCAAAACGGTTCTCTTTATTCACCAAAAGATGCCAATCACAAATACCTATAAGTACCTTAGGGTTAGCTTGTTCATAAGTCAATTCGCTTATGATGTCACCAAGATAACTAAATAATGACAAATCTATTTTGCGTACCGACTGACTAGCTAATGAAAGATTTGGAACAGTTCGCGCATCACTAACGTTAAATATTTCAGGGTGATTTTTACCTCTAATATCGAAACTGACACGCTTAGAAGTGATTTTTCGCGACCCAGTTACACCCCCCATGAAAATATTTTCTTCGGGACCAACAAGTCCTAAAACGTTCGCCAACTCAGTGTCTATTAAAGTGGTTGTAGACCCATCATCTAATAAAGCATACGTCGGCACTTCCCCGCCCTGCCCTATAATTACAACAGGCACAATTTTCAAATACACTCTGCAAGATATATCTTTATCGTTTAATGAACAAGAATTAACAACATTAGAGGTACTATTCTCCATAGAGGTGGCAGGTTGGCAAACTACTTAGTCTATTGTACCACGATGATTAAAATTCTCATTGACGTTATGTGACACTGAAATATTGTTGACGGCTAATGACGATGAATTATTATGATTTTTACGTTGATGAACAGAGATAATATTTTCAGAATCTAAATGGTCTAAATGAAGTAAATGATGGTGTTTCAAACTACATTTATCGCATGATTTTGCTCGGCAGGTTCGCCAATTATGCTTGCCTTTACGGAAACACTTAGGACAAACTTTGTTTTGACGAACCCACGACCAACGTTCTTCTACAGGAAGTGATAAAAATTTCGGACATGATTTTATACTGTGGATGGACTGACAAAATAAACAAAGAGCCTTTGTTGTTGTATTTGCGTTAACACGATGAAACGATGTCTGCGGCTTCGACTTGTCCGTTAGTGAAGCAGCGCCGCTACACATTAAGGGGCTTGGGCTAAAGCGAGCTTGCTTGCTAGCTTCCTGCTCCAAAAAAGCTGCTAACAGTTCCAGCAACGGCCTCTGAATATCAAAGTTTTCATCCGCATAGTCCAACCATTTGTCCTGTAAATTAAATGACAGTTTAGCTAATAGTGTATGAACCAGTTCTGGTGAATAAATATATTCCTGCCTGTTTAGTTGTTTTATTACACATACACATGTTTGTACTCTGGCAGAAAACGCGAAAATGTCGCATGGGTTCCTACTCATCTTTGGTAGGGCGCGCACCGCTGCAATTTCATTGAGAACTATATGTTCTGGGCGCGCAAAATAAAGTTCTAAGGCTTTTATTACTACTTCTGGGTTATCTGACGTAAACAATAAAGTCTTTACTGCCTCACGTGCTGCGCCACAGAGCGACTTACGCAGACGTGCCATATTTTCTTTGGCAGAAAACGTAGATTTTGTTTCATCAAAACTCTTTTTGAAAAGTAACCATTCAGAAATATCACCCGAAAAATTAATGAGATCTATGTTTATAGAACTAACACGATTAGCGTAACTATTTTGAGCAAGTAAAGTAATTGCGTTACTTAAACGATTTATCTCACTCACTGGTACGTCATGAGGTTTCACGTGCTCTATCTTATCCACGTGTGTAGATTCGCGTTGCACCTTCGCAGATGCCGATACACCCTCCCCTAATGGGCACGAGTAACAAGTGACCTTCTCCTGCGTGGCGTCATGCACATCTTCACACGACAAAATAAATTGTGATACGTTACCAATTACGCATGGCGACAGTGGATGGTCGACCTTCGATGACAACTTTGGTATAGTTACAACTGGATCATTTGGTGATCCATGGTCTTCTACGAGCTGAGGTGATGACCTTCCGGCGCTACGAGCATCATCGACCCACTGCGCCGTCCGCTCTTTAGAAGCTGATGTCGTTCTGCTACATACTTCCTCTGCCTCAACAGCAGCCGTCTCAGCTTCGAATTCTGCACGTGCCGCTTCCTCCTGTGCCGTCACAGCTTGCTGTGTGAGCTCGGCGAGCTTGCGCTTTAATTTGGCCTCGGCGGCTTTCTGCCGCGCAAACAAGTTCGCCCGTTGCGACGACGTCGCAGAAGAAACTACGGAACGCGGTTTTCCTATCTCTCCCCCCTCAAAAGGTGAGGGTTCCACCATCCTCTTTGCTGATTGTGCTCTCGTAAGCATAGTGGAAAAAAATTTGGAATTTGGAAAAGTGCTGAATTCAAAATAAAAGACGTCGAAGGACCAGAATGTTGAGGACAGCAAAGGAAACGGCGGGTTGGGGAAGAAATAGGAAATATATTTATAAATTTTACAATATCAAACGAAAGCTAAGTTTATAACGGAAGAAAAAGTTGTAAGTGACAAGAATAGAGTTAAGAGCGAAGCATAGATAATTTAATAGAGAATAATATAAATATTAACAAAAATAAGGTCTGTCTCGCACAATTGTACTCAAGTAGGTACTCACTGTTCACTGACAACGTTACATGTAAAAGGAAAGCGAAACGTAATGATACGATACAAGACGTTGTTGGGGAATCCCCGGCAAACATTTTATCGGCGCCAGTGTTATCACATTTGGCAGTTTAAAAATTGACAAAAAAACATCACGTAATTAATGGATGGCCCCCTACCGCATGTGACTTGTATTTTTCATGGTATTTTGAGTTATATAGTGAGTAGCCGAAATCTATAGATTTCTTTACGTAACTGTGTATACTGTCAACCCACACAAATAATTTAGGGGAATTCCCTTTTTATAACTTTGGAATATCTCACAACTGAGTTGCCATGATTAAACTCGAGTTGTCACTTGTCGTATTTATTTTGAAAATGGGAGAAGTTTTCAAAAGTTGAGTTCGATTAAGATTATCTGGTAAAGATTCGGGCCCCGGGGCACTGCCCCGCCTAGCCTCTTGGTAGCTACGCTACTGTGTGACAGACAGCGTTTTCCGCGTAGTTTCGGAAGTTTAATCTTTTATATTGATTTTTATTGATAAATACAGTAAATTTCCCCGAAATGTGAATTTAATGTGGTTATTATGTAATAAAGAATAATTTAAATCTATTTTTCAAAATAAGTCAATATACCCTATTTGTCAATATATACTATAATTTTGCTTTAAAAACCTGTTTGATTATAAGGAAGAGCGGGGCTTCTCAACACAGGTATCTTTGGATTACTTTCGAGAGAAGCCCCGGCAACTGTATTGTTAAGATTTTAAAGTAATAAAGCAATTTTTTATTTATTTATGTTTTTTGGCGTTTTCGTTCACCGTCGATCGTGTGCGCCTTAAGATTTTAGCTTGGAACTCGGTATAGCACTCCTAGCGGTAACTAAAAGATTAAAAAAAGCGGTATTAAAAAAAGAAAGCACCTCACTAGATGACTCTAGCAAAAGTTGATTTTTGCAGTAAACGAATGGACCAAAGATAGTCTTTTCCGTTCCTTTTAAATAACATATTAAAAAACTGAAATTTGCAAAATTTGAAACTTAAATATCAAACTGTAAAATCCAACGGAAGCATTCATTTGGAAACACGAAAAAGTTAGTTGAGTTTTGCAAAATAATTTACGAGTTTTGTACATGAAAGTGAACGGTTGTTATGAACGTACCGTAGCGACATCTAGTTTGATTTCGAGAACTATTTCTTTTAATTCTTCCTAAATTCTTAACGCGCTCACTAGTGAATGCGTTAACGTAAAACTTATACTTACCACTGTGATGTCATCATTCAAAAATAATAGTATGTATTAAACTTCTCAGCACAGAGTATGATTGCAAACTTTAGGAGTACACATCACCTGTGGCATCACCGATATAGCCTTTTTATTTATTCTGTGATTGTTGCGTCCCTATTGGCAACACTGGTTCGGTCGCCATTTAGAAACGTTCATCCGTTTTGGACATTGAGTTAGTTTTTATTTAAAAATACAGACTTTATATTATTTAGGTGAACTCAGACACTTGGACATTGTGCTGTGAAACTAATGTGATTAATTTTGATATTTTCGTAATTAAAGACTTGACCTAGTGCACAATTTTAGAATATCGTGGCCAATGTCAGCAGGCGTGTCAGATCAGGTATTTCCCATTTACTCTTAGTTTACCATTTATTTAAAAGGCAAATGTAGTTTTATGAGACGTAATAATACTGTTAAATTTCTTGTTTCATGTAATTTTGGCGAACAGCGGATGAAAGGGCAAGGGAATCAAGGTAAAGTTGAGATCATTATGACGTTGCAAGGTGTTTTCTCCGTAAGGATAGCTCCGCACCGGCGGCTTTGTATTCAATGTACAGATAGCGTTGCGGTTTCATGATCGCTTTAATTTCTACTTTCGTCGAGTATATATAATGTCTTCTTTTTTAAACAAAGAAAAAGGTATAAATTACGGTAATTCTAGATGAATATTTTGTTATTTTTATGTCGTACTTACTAGAACTTAATATCAGTTGTCAGGTGAGATTATTGTGGGAGTTACTGCCCACACACTGAAAGATTTCTGATATTTAACCTCCTACACAAATAATACGCCTTATACTAGGAATTATTAAGTATCATTGTATTATTTTCTAGAAAAATAAATTGGTCTCTAATTATTTACTTGTTAGTTACACATCATCTGTCAAAGGTATAAAAGTGAACATATTTTGTATTGGATTAAAAGTAAAATGTATGGTAAGTAATCGCAGAACTGATATATATAATAAATAATAATTAATAGCTTTATCTCCACACAAATATGTTTTTATTGTAATTAGGTTTAGTAATCATTTCATGATGGAACTTTGAGATTAATGATTTGATATTCATTTTGTATCAGAAATCGCCACTACAAATGATTGAAAGGCTAATTAATCTAAGTAATTTCTTTTTCAATATTGAATCTCAATATGAAAAAAAAAGCCTTATCACTGTCAATATAATTTATTCTAATATTCTCATGTCAATCAACATGTTCACTGTCTTTTGAACTAACCATTTTGGAGATTGATTTTTATTGAGGCTTCTACTTGATGAAAAACTACAATAGGTATGATGACTAACTTTTGTTTGTTTGTCGGTTTGCTAGATTATTGAAGGAAAATAAACACATAATTTTTTATTTATTGTGTAATCAATAAATTATGACAATACATTGGGCTGAAATGTTACATGAAATCATGCTTTTGTACATTTTCTACAAAACTGTGACATAGTGTGCCCCACACTCTTCAACTTTAATGCCTATTTAAGCCATTTTTTGTTTAAATTGAAGCAAAAAAATATGTACCTAATATTTTTCTATTATCTGAAAGACAGACTTAATAGTATTCTTTTTTTTTTACCCAATTTATTGAGGAATTTAAGAGACATAATTTGAAATTTATTTATTTTACACATGATTTACAGATACAGTGGAGGTAATTGAATGTCATCTATGCTTAATTCTGCTTTAATTTTAGGTTGCTACTGTGTCGACCTAAAATTAAATGTATTTAGATTGTCTTCCTGAAGTGGCAATCTTATCAATTTAAATTTGAGGAAATCTCCCTATAAAATTACCAGTTTTATCAGTTTTTTCTTTAAATCCTAAAGTTTATATTTTACTGTGTTGGCATTTTTTATGTTTTATGGTTTTGTGTGTGTGTGGTGTATTACTTCTTACACAAAACCAAAAAAATATTTGAAATGTAAAATAATAGTAGATGTATAGCTTAGATGAGCTAGCAGTTGAGACAATAGGAAAGTTAGAAGAACTTACTTTAAACTATGGACATCATATTCTGACTATGTGAATCCACTTTATTATTTTTATTTAAACAGCCAGTAACAGTTCAGAATGTCCAATTCCCCAAATATCAAGTTGCTGAAATGTCCATTTCCTGAAATGTCCAATCCAGTATCATGATTTGGTTTGTTGAATACATGGAGAAGACATATGTAGCAAAATCGTTAATGCTTAACATTTTTAAAATTCAACTAGCTATGAGTACTTATTTATCTAGTTTGGTATTTCAGAGTTTTCAACAAACCAATCATGATAAGATCTATCCGTGTGTTATAATGTTTGTAACCAGAATAGACATTTTGAGAATTGGTCATTTTGAACTAAAAATGATTAAAACACTAATCGTTAACTTGATTGGTGTGTCTACAAGCGAAACTATTTTTCTATGCTTATAGTAACAAATGCACCGAAAGAGCAACAGTTAGAGAGTGGCGGAGACGAGTTGGCGGAGGTGTCATGGCGTCATCAACAGCAACCCTCGTATGCACCACCCATCTCGTCAGCAGCCGACCCCTACAGCGCGGCAGGTAGGTACATATTATTTTAGTACTATTATATTAATTTATTTTGCTTACATTTTCAAATACATGACTGTAAATACCTCCATGTGCCACCTCAACTCCAAAGTTCTTGGTCCATGTCCATCCTCGAAGTGTCTGACCATAGGTCAAGCTGCATTTGAATGTCTCAATATCTTCAAGGAAGTCAGCAATCTTGGTATACCTTATTATTATTTTTGGAACAGATTGATGACAGCATCAAAAGTAAAAGCAAATTATGTTAATTACTCAAACCTTTCACTACACTACACAGGTTAAGTGTAACTTAAATAATATAGATTTGGTGTGGTGTCCTGTATAAAGCACCATTCTTCATTATACTTTTATCGGACATAAAATTCCTAGTCTTGATGAATAAAAATTATTAAACTATATAAAAGAGAAGTTTAAAGTTATAAAAAATTATACATAAACTTTATAATTTGACTGTATTTTATGGGATTTTTCATTTATCTGTGTAATATTTTATCGGTCTGATACATCCTACTCCTCTATTTCACATCAATTTCCCCGCCATAAGGCCATTCTTCGTCACAAACATTACAGCTGTTATTTGGTAATACCTCATTATTGACATTATCAACATCATATTTTATGTCATTGCAGGTTATTACGGTACAACAGCTCTTCCTTACCAAGCTTTTGGAGTCGGGGATGGGACATGGTCCGCCAATGGAACAGACCCGATGACTTTCCTCGGAGGATACAATCCTCACGATTCTTATGGAATGGATGGTAGCTAGTATTTATTCAGTACTCTGGAAAACATTATCATTCATTAACATAATGAACACATGTTAAGGAATCGGGTTGGTGTTTTGACTGAGTTGACTATTTGTTTTAAATTTTGTTTATCTAATGAGCCTCTGATATCAGTGAATGCTAATCTGTTACTCACTAATAACATAAATGATAATAATAATACTGTTTACATACAATGTCTACCATCACAAAACATTGCATTCTATTTTAGAAATTGTTGCATGGCCATTATCATGTTATTTTTTTACAAATTAAGGCTCATATGTGATTTCAGGTGTTTTTGGCCCTTCAACTACACCATTCTCAACGGCTGCCTTCAGTCAGCCGGCTTCTACTTTTAACTATTTTCACGGTAACGGTGACTACTCCACGTGGGGTCAATTAGGACGCGCGAAATATGACGATTACTACAGAACAGACGGACTGTACGTGCCCGACGGCATCAAGGCGGTCGAGAGCGGCGTGCAAGCGATCGCGCTCGGCGAACACAAAGCGGAGAAAGACCGCATGCCCGAGCTCAAGGACGTTTCGAGTGGATCGCAACCTAAAAAGATGACGTGGGCGTCGATAGCCAGTCAGCCGGCGAAGCCCGCGCCGTCTTCGCAGAGTGTGGGGTTGAAGAAAAAGGGCCCCGGTATGCCACCACCGCCCATCGTGCCTGGAAAGCACAACATGGATATGGGTGCGTGGGATGCGGGGAAGAGTGCTCCGGTGGTGACGGCGCCGCCTCCGCCGCAGCTGCAGCCGCCGCCGGTGCCGGCGCAGTTGCAAATGGCGGCGCCGGCACCCGCCCCTGCGCATGCTCCGATGACACGCGGCCCCCCGCCGCAGCACCAGCCGCCACCATCATGGGCGCCACGTGCTCCGCCGCCTATGCAGCCGCACCCGCAGCATCAGACCCACCAGCCGCGGCCGCCGATGCCCGCGCCGCCAGTCGCCGTCCCTCCACCGGCCCCGCCCGCAGGACCCATACCGCATCCTGTGCTAGACGAACTCCGTGTCAAAAATGATTACAACCCTAAAGATTTCGATCTGACCGCTCCGCTCGCTAGATTTTTCGTAATAAAATCCTACTCTGAGGATGATATTCATCGTAGTATCAAATACGAGATCTGGTGTAGCACCGAACATGGCAATAAGAGGCTGGACGCGGCGTTCCGCGAGCGCGAGAGGGAGGGCGGCGCCGTCTATCTCTTCTTTTCCGTCAACGGTAGTGGACATTTTTGCGGAATGGCCCGTATGACGAGCGCGGTAGATTACAATTCTAATTCGAGCGTGTGGTCGCAGGACAAGTGGAAGGGACAGTTCCGCGTTAGGTGGATATATGTTAAGGACGTTCCGAATGTGGAACTTCGTTATATCAAATTAGAGAATAATGAAAACAAGCCCGTGACGAATTCTCGTGACACCCAGGAGGTGCCGCACGCGAAAGGGTTGCAGGTGTTGCGTATCATGCATAGTTACTGTCATTCTACGTCGATCTTCGACGACTTTATTCATTACGAGAGGCGTCAAGAAGAGGAAGACTCGCGTAAGGTGCCGCACCATAATAACCAGGACAATAATCGGGAGGAACACGAAGGTGGGCGTGGTTATAGGAACTATCGGGATTTCCGAGATCACCGAGATGGACGAGACGGTAGAGACGGACGCGATCACCGTGATGGTCGTGACGGCAGGGACGGTCGTGATGGCAGAGATGGTCGTGAAGGTCGTGATGGCAGAGATGGTCGTGAAGGTCGTGATGGACGTGACGGCCGTGATATTGGTCGTGACGGACGAGACCATCATCGTGAAGGGCGGGACCCGCGCGATCGTGACCACCGTGATCATCGAGACCATGATGGCAGAGACAATCGGGATCATGGCTACCGTGATCGTGATAACTATAGGCCACATCATAAGGTATACACAAAAATAGATTTTATACATATTACTAGTTTCTTATATGAAAATGTAGTTGATTATAATTTTTATGTAGTTAATCATATCTAATCTGTCTTAACTAATATTCTATCTTTAGTTTTGTACCTAATTATTAATAATAACAATATAAGGCAATAATTCTGAAAAAAAAAAATTTATTCACAGTCAAAAAATGTCAGGTTATCCAAACAAAGCTATTATATCTCTATTTCAAGCTTTGGTATAATACTAGTCAACATAATTAATGTAACTTTCAACTAATATGGCGCATGGTGAATCTATGTTTGCCCCCATTAAAATGTATAGTGAGTCTTGTCTCAATAATCATATATTTCTCAGTGGGTGTTGGTGGATCGCACAATGGCGTGATACTTGAATAATTCTGAATGGCCATGGCAACAAATGTTATTGCGCTTCAAAATAAGCCTTCTGTGCAAGTACACCAATCAGCCACATCAGTTATGTCTTACTTTATTATCTGTGTAGAAGGAGCAAATTAAAATATGTGCAATTTTTAATTCCATTTGTTTTACAGGATCGCGATGGCTCCCGCGGCCGCGGGCGTCCTCGCAATTAATTCTACCGTTTGAGGGCTGGCTTCTCTCCATAGACGACTAGTACTCGAGTGATTAATAATTGGCACCGTATTATATAGATGTATGAATATCGACATATACATACACAGGAAATGAGGATTATGTCATAAACAAACGTAACCACCTGATGTTACGTTAAAATCTGAACAATTATAATGTATCATAGAGTATTGATTGTTTTAACAGTGCAACGCAAAAAAAACTCTCATGAAATTAAAATGTGCAAAGAATTTGTACTAGAAGAACGTTTTATTAAATAAATACATAGTGAACCGAACATTGATTAAATAACAACATTAAATATGTGTCAGTTTTGTGTCGCATGATGTTGTGTGCAATTGTGGACTTTGTTTCAAATTTGTGGACTGAATCAATGAAATATACTAATTTTTATAACTAGGAAATTCTGTGGTGAGAGGAGTTGATCCTTTTATTGTGGACTGGTGAAGTTAATATTTCAACACCAATGTTGCGAGCTGACTGAGTGTAGTGTTAAAAAAATATACCACAATCAAGTGTTAAAAAAAAAATGTTAACGTATCACAGTGGTGTGTGATTTATTGTAATTTTGTATTGCAGACATAATTGTAATCAGATGGGGGGTGTGGAAATTTTGTATACATTTTTTTTATTGTCATTTTAGAACAGATGTGGTATTCTCTCGTGGCATTGTTTCAGTTCCGTTTATTACCTTGTATATAATTTTGTGTATAATTGAGGAGCTTGGAAGTCACCTTTTTATCTTACATGCCCCATATTCATTTTGTGGCACATCATTTCTCACTACAGGAGAGAATAGAATAGTGTCAAGTTCCTCAACTATACCTTAAAAGCGACAAACAAATAATGATTTTAATATGTTATGAATTTCCGATGTACTTATCATGTTATACTGAATCATTATTACTTTGAAAATAACAACATTATATTTCTATGATCTGCTAATATTATTATATCAACCTGTGTCAAAAAATTTCATATTATCAGATGAGAATAGGGTTGCCAGACGGTCGTGATTGGTCTAAAGTGTCCCGTCTTTTCGGAGGATGTCCAGAGTCCCGAAAAAGAAGGAAATGTCCCGCAAATGTTAAATAAGTGATAAAATCAATTGCTCGGTAACGGCTGATACAACCTAGAAATAATTCTATTATCTTTGTTTGTTAATCACAAATATTTTCCTGAGGTGAAGGATAAATGTATTGAATTTTGTCTTGAGAATTCCCGATTTGCCCCGACATTTTACTCTACCCACTCTACTCTGGCAACTCTAGATGAAAAATAATTTTATTTTCTATAGTTTTAGGTTAATATTTCTTGTTGAATTTTTATGTACATTTTAAAGTCTTTAATATTTTCTAATTCTATTTTTAAGAGCAACTGCAGTGTGACGGGAGAAATTAATGATGAATAAAATAGCCATTTTGCCATTCACTATGTTTATTACATTCTTAAATGTATCTTCCCACCTTGATTTTAAAGTTCTTATTATTTTTAAACATGAATAATTTGAATAAACATGTAGTTTTAGTGTAACATTCAAATATTTTTATTTTCACTTTAAATAATTTGTAGTTAGGGATTTGCTGATGCATTATTTTTTGTTTTATTTTAGTTTATATCTGGGTTTAATAGTGAAATATACTTTAATTATATGCACACGATTGATTTACAAACAATTATGTAGACCCTTTATTATTCTATAGATATAAAATTTCCCATAAAACTGATGCAGAATAAAAAATGTATCATAGAAACTGCACGAGTATAGTTTTTTTTACCCTATCCATGTTTACATACTTTGGTGCTTACGGAAAATTAAATAAAAAATAAGAATTGGATATTTCGTAATTATTAAATCGACTATCAAAAAAAGGATAAATTTTATAAGCTCATACTGGACATATAGCTGAAGCTTTAAATATAGCGTAAAAGCTTCCCTCGAAAGCAAATCCTCGTTCAATGTCGTCACTTAAGAATTTATTTTACCCGGTCTACAATCCTGTAGAATGCTGAAAATCTCATTTGTCGATAACTAATGAAAGTGAGGAATTTAATTTACACGTACACGGATGTTATCAACCAGTGTAAATACGCCATTATGGATATGGATGATTCGACTCATGAAGTGATACTCAGGGTTTTAATAAATCATAATAAAAAAATCAGTACGAGGTTTTAGAATTATGATTAAAGATACAATCATTTTCCTATAGTGAATAGTGTAAAGTATTAAATTAAGCTTCATTACATGAGTATTTTATTTAGTTACCACTTTTATAACATTTAAGTTCTTACAATATAAGTGTAATAATGTTGTCGTTGTAATGGTTATTTTTGCCTACATATACGTAAAGAGAAAAAAAGTAAATTTACTCGTAACATTCGAAATTAATAATATTAGGTTTAACTACTAATGAAAACTTTAAAGAAATGATTGCATCCCTGAAGCATTATGAATGTGAACAGTAATTAATTCCATGAAATAATAAATGCGTGAGTCGTAAATCTAAAAAAATAAGTGTTTCGAGCATAGATTTATATGTACGGTTACGACAATTTAAAGGATTGCCTTCCTTGTGATATTCCTAGATATTTTCGATTTTTACTCCGTTTATCTATAACTGAAAATAAGTATGAAAATATAAAAAAAACGAGTGAAGTACAAAAAGCTTACAATACGGAAAACTAGGACATATGACCTAAGATCCCTTTGCCTAACTTTATTATTACTGAAGATAGATGTCAATGTCAAAAAACCTCGAATGTTTGCGGCGCGAACGTTTGTTCGTTCGTCGCGTGTAAAGCGGTTTTGTTTCCAAACCAATGATAACTTGTTTTAGCTCGCTGTCAGACGGTTGTTCGCTAGTCGCTAGCGCTGCAGCTGAATGAAATTTCGGCTTTGTTTGTGCCACAAGTTTGGGTTATCTTCAAAACATTGATATTTTTATCGAATTGCTATCTTGTACATGATTCGAAAGACGATAGCAGAATGTGAACGTTACGATACATAAATAAACGATTTTCATTAAACGAACGAGACAAGACGATTGCTTTAAGTGAAACTATACATTGGTCATTGAGTGTTTGGTTAAAGATATTTTGGTAAAAATGAGACATGCATTCAGGCGAAATGCAAAAAAGTGTATCAGTGCAAGTAGATAGTGATTTTGCCTTGTTGCTTCCTAGTGGCGCCTATGAAATAAAAAAAATGGAACCGAGATCGAAGCTCCGGAAAGTGATCCTTTTCTGTTTACTACTTTCTCTTTTCGGGATGGTAGCATTTGGATATTTTTGTCCAGATCAGGTTAGTATTCCCTAATTCAAAAAAATAAAGGAAGAGTTTTGCACTTCAATTTCATGTAAATTAGCTATTTTCAGCAGCAAAGTTACTGTAATTTAGTAGAAATTAGGGTTTTTCACAGTATTAAAAGTTTCTTTAACTTATTTCTGCAGAGCAAAGAAATGTTTTAGAAAGTATATAAATATGTTGAAACATTGTTATTATATAAAAAACCAAATAGACTGCAGATGTTATAATTTTTTTTTTATTAAAATATTCTAGTTTATAAAAAGGAAACATAATATTATTTGTTTTGTGCACAGTGATAATATAAAGTTACATTACTAAATAAGTGTATATCAGCCAGTTGCACAAAGATTCATTAACATTGCAAATTAAACATTAATGGATTTTTGTGCAACTCACCATACAACTAACATTATACATAACTATAACTTATCATTATTATCAATCTTATCATTTCTCCCTTAATATTTCATAGATAAATTTTGCTTATGTGTTCATCGCACAGCCAATGTTTGTTATGGCCTATAATCAGTGACGGACTGACATCTCCTCATCAGAGACCTTTTAACTTTATTCTATTATTATGATTATGGTGGATAACTGCAGTTGCCTATTTAACTCCTGTTCAAAAAAGTGCAATCCAACCAAGGAGGTATATCAAGATATTTGACACTAAGACCAAGATTTTGTACAGTGTTTAGTAATTTTACTTGGACATCAGCAGACTATGAAAATGTGAAGTTATAACTTTTAACTATTGTCATGGACATGCCCATTATGCCCATAATGGTATATTTGCCCTTAGTTATAAGTTTCTTATTAGTGAAGTAATCTATAAATTTTTATAGTATTTTCATTCACAATACTATGGTATTATCTTACAGAACATAGTATAATGGGAATGCTTAATTAAATATAACTATATATCAAGGATATAAATTGTTAATATTTTTAATAATCTTATAAATATAATAACCTACTCCAGTGAATAGGCATTTCTAGAAAAAAGTTACCTAAATATATAAAAAGACTTTCTTATAGAAAGAGATTTTTGTATTTATTTTTCATAGGCGCAGTAGTTTTAGAAATCAAGATGCAAACGGTAAATACCTCTTTTCTTAAATTTTTTTTTTTTATATTAAGTATTTAATACATAAGACATTTAGAATCTCGAAGGTTTTACATTTGATTATGTGGTAGACTCCTTGAAATGTTTAAAAATGTAATCTATAATTGACATGGTTGAACAGACAGTACTATTTTAATTGAAAGGATTTAAATGTTAATGATACTATTTGCACATCTTTTCTCAAGTAGAACACTGTATCTATTACATTATTTAATTTTGTGATCTTATAGATTTCTATTTTAGCAAATAAAGATGTTATCTAAAGGTATACTTTTTTTAGTAAAGTAAAGTGTATTAAGTGTTGCATGTTCAAGATGCATTCATATATGGCATATAATATGTAGTCTGTTAATGCAGAACTTTAAACTATTCAATCAATTTTTTATGTATTCTAAATTATCCCAATAGCAGCTGTTTTGTGGTTGTGATTAATGCATAAGACTTTAGAGCAATTATGTTTCCTATTCCTAAAAATGAAATGATTCACAATACCATTTTAAAACAATACTGTGTGGGTGGAGATGATTGAGCTTGTCACCGTCTCTAGCTATATCAAGTTTTATTGCATAAAACATTGTGAACTTAATCCTATTAGACATTTTCCACTAATCAATCTGTGAGGTTAAGTAACATTTAGCTTGACATATCTCAATGTTATCTCAATATATCCTGGCATATAGCATCTTGAAAGTTATCAGTATCATTATTTATTTAAGAACAACTCTTTGTCCCTGATTAAATTAAATTATAAATGGCAACTGTCAAGCAAAACAAAATGTGTATTATAGTGCTATCAGTTATTTATAGGGGGTCAGAATTACAGAAATACATATAATTTCTGTAGTCAGAAGGGTATAAACTATTACATGAATATTACATTTAGAAAAATATAGGTATGTATTTTTCAGATGTTTCAGGGCTTTATTCATATTAGAAATTAAAAAAACAATTCAATATTAATTCTAATGAGTTTAACGACATATAAATAAATAAGTCTTTCATTTAAGACTTACATCTTGGCTATTCAAATATATAATGAAATGGTACTCCGCTCCAAGAAACAGGTAGTAAAATATTAGTACGAGATGCACAGATTTCTACACGTACCTAGTATCATATTCGTAAATGATTTGATGTAATGTTAATAATAATATTTCAATTAAATAGTACCCAATCTCTTGAGTACCCAATGCGATATTCCTACCCTTAAATTTATATACCTATATTGCCACTTTCTACGTAGCTTTATAATATTTTCTCTTAGCATTAAAATAAAAGCACGCGATTCGAATGCTTCTATTAATGTTTGAAACTTGACCTTAATGTTAATCCAATTATAATTTCTATTAACAACTTTGTAGAGTCAAGGTTGATATGACCCTTTTAGTTAAATTAACGTTTTATTGACTTCGCTTTTAGCGTTGTATTTTATATAACTACATAAATATATTTTACATCTTTGCTGCTGTTCTCATGGTAACAATAACGTTATTAAAAATGCCAAGTGCGAAGTCACAGCTTCACAAACTATACGACTAGTAATTTCACGAAAACTAGATTGAATCTTCTTTTCATTTTCCCGAGATTAGGTACTTTTGCTCTATAAGAAATTATACTGTTTATTATATATTCTGTTTTTTTTTACAAACGTGAAATATTAAATAAATAAATATAAATCAAACATCACATACATTGCTCAGATTCCAATATGAGTATATAGTATCTTAGACAACGAAGGTACCATAATACCCAGATCAGAGACTATTTCTATCCTTCCCTTCCTTTCGAAAATCCTGGAGGCTGCTGCTCATCAACAGTTATCCTCGTTTATTTTCTCAACATCCGTACTCACTCCATTGCAATCCGGCTTTCGTAGCACCACGACTGCACTCCTTAAAGTCACTGAGGATATCAGAGTGGGCATGGAGACACAGCTGGTCACCATTCTTGTTCTTATCGATTTTTCTAACGCATTAAATATGGTTGACCACGATCTCTTATTGGCTATTCTGAAATCGCTCAATCTCTCGGCTTTGACATTGGATTGGTTCACAAATTATCTTCGTGGTCGTCAGCAAGCTGTGCGTGGGGGTCGTGATATGTCCGGTTGGAAAAATGTGACTGCTGGTGTTCCTCAGGGTGGTATTTTGTCCCCTCTCCTATTTTCCATTTTTATAAATTTTCTCTCTTTCTCTCTTGGCTGTTCTTATCATTTTTATGCAGACGACCTTCAAATTTATGTGCAGAAGACCGTTGAAGAGGTTGGTGCAGGGATCTCTGAACTGAATGGAGCCCTATGTAATATCAGTGCATGGTCAGCTAATTTTGGGATTACTGTAAATCCCTTAAAATGCCAGGCAATTATTGTGGGTGGCTCGAAACAGATCTCTAAGCTCGATATCAGCCTGCTCCCGTCTGTTGCGTTCGAGAACTCAATTATACCTTTTAGCCCCAGTGTTAAAAACCTTGGCCTCCACATCGACTCCGAGTTCAAATGGACCACGCAAATCGCCGAATTGAGTCGAACAGTTACCTACACTCTACGTTCCCTCAACCGTCTCAGGAACTTTCTTCCTATCAAGACGAAGGTCACTCTTGCCACTTCTCTTGTTCTTCCACTCATTGACTATGCCGATGTCTGTTATCCTGATTTAAATGAAGATCTTCTTAATAAGTTGGACCGCCTTATCAATAATGCTATCCGTTTCATCTTCTGTCTTCGTAAGTTCGACCATGTTTCCTCTTATCGGTTTCAGCTAAAATCCTATTCGACAGCGGAGGCATCTGCGGTTGCTTTGTACACTTTACTCTATTCTTTCCAATCCTCATACACCAGAGTACTTAAAGTGTAAATTTCAATATCTCTCTGACACTCATGGTCGTCACCTGCGTTCTTCAAACTCTCTCTCACTTTCCACTCCCCTTTTTCACACTGGCTTTATGTCCAACTCATTTACACTACATTCAATTCGACTGTGGAACAGCCTCCCCGATTCCATCAGAAGATCGCCAAATAAAAACATTTTCAAAAAAAAAGTTCACTCCTTTCTGTTTCAAGGCTTGTGAAGATTGTCATCATCATCTGTGTATTGACGTGTGTGTGTGTGTGTGTGTGTGTGTGTATTTATTTATGTATGTAATTATGTGTAATGTTATTTATATTTTAAGTATGTTGTAGTATGTTCATGATTAGTTTAGTATTTGTTGTTGTAGTTTTTTATTTTTATTGCTCTGTACCGCCATCGCGTTTGTCTGTTTTCCCAAAGGTTGACTGGCAGAGAATGCTATTAGCATTAAGTCCGCCTTTTGTACCATCTTTATTGGTCAATAAAGTTTAATAAATAAAAATAAATAAATAAGAAAATTTCATTTTCCACATTGACTCGACCGGCAATCGAACCAGGGACCTCAGAGGTGGCGACACCTTGAAACCGGCGTGCGAATCACTCGGCTACGGAGGCCGGTATGATACACGTAACGTCATTTATTGTGGTTTTTAAGAACATATTTTTTTACTTGGCGTTTAGACCCCGTGGCGAAGTGGTTTCGTACAAACAACATTTGTATTTCTTAAAATTTTCTCAATATATATATCGCACGTTGAGAATGACAATGTCACTAACCAAAAACGACGTATTTTTTACTTCTGTCAACATTTTTCTTTGTTAAGTATAAACTTTAAAATGCAAAGATCCCTGTAAACGTAGATTGCATAGAAACTGCTAGGTGGCGCAGTGACGATACGTTGTTTAAAGGGGCTGATTACAATTTCTGGAACTTTAAACGCTCATTACTCAAAATCGCATGTTTTGCATTGTGTCACTATCGTTCTCAACGTGCGATATGCAAATAACGGAATATATATTGT